CATTAACAAGGCACACTTGCACACACAAGAACCCTCACAAAAGGATGAGCTGGAGAAGACGCAGGAGAGTGGAGGTGTTAAAGTACATTTCAATTAAACAATGCATGGGCATTTATTCTTAAGTTAACCTAACTTTCTTTAGGCATGATGACCTGGCAAAGAACATTTTCTTTGTGAGTAGTAGGTTGTAAAGCTGTCTCTACTCACTCAACTCCCCACTGAGTAGCTTTTCTTCCAACTAAGTTTCTAAGCTGTGTTGGAATTAAGGTTATTGTAGTGATGTACAGGTACTGAGTCAAGGTCATGGAGAATGAATGGCTGAGCTTGTATATTAGGTGCTACAACAGGTGCTAAATATTTGGCTATGGAAATTAGAGAAACCAGAAACAAAAGGGCACTGGTTATAACCAGTAACGTAAAAACCTAGTTGAAATATTACCTCCCTAGGAAGCTTTCCTCTCAAATCAGGCCCTGTGCACATACTCTGATTACAGAATTCACTGAACTGCATTTCACTTATCTAATCGATGTGGCCTGGTGGCCACCTTCCCGTGGCCCTCCCAGTACAGATACCACATGCCCCAGGCCTCCCACCTGCATTAGCACCCTGACCACCTCCGTGCACCAGCCCCCCAGCTGAGGCTCACCTGTGCCCTGGAGGGTTGCTTCCCATTTCCCTGGGGACTGTAGACAGATCTGGCCTGGGCAACCCAATGAACTTCTCTGCCACCCAGTGGGCTGCAACCATTGGACCCTAACTGATAATGCTGTCAGTACAGAAGATTGGACCCTGACTGATACCGTCGTCTATGTAGAAGCCTGGAGCCCTCAAAAGAAAAACTGAGGTAACTACTTTTGGTTCTGAACCTGGGTCAGATTCAAAGCTATTTATTAAAAGTGAAATGTTCTAGGGCCAGCCCAGTGGCGCAGCAGTTAAGTGTGCACGCTCCGCTTTGGCGGCCTGGGGTTCGCAGGTTTGGATCCCGGGCGTGCAGCAACGCACTACTTGTCAGGCCATGCTGTGGCGGCTCCCGTATGAAGTAGAGGAAGATGGGCATGGATGTTAGCCCAGGGCCAATCTTCCTCAGCAAAAAAAAAAAAAAAAGAGGAGGATTGGCATCGGATGTTAGCTCAGGGCTGATCTTCCTCACACACACACACAAGGGAAAGTTCTATATCATGTTTTTATCTCTAGAAGCACTAAGCCTCTAATTTTTTAAAGCTTATATTCTAGGCCTTCCATTCACAGGTACAAGTTATGACACTTAACGTCAGCATTTCAGGTTAACAGCAGTTGTCCATAATGAAAACAAAACATCTCTCAGTGCTTTCTATGTACAATTACCAGAAAGGCACAAAGAGAACCACTACAGAGAAAACACGAATTAAGAGCGGTCATGTAGTAAACACATTAGTGTTATTACTGAAGAACAGAACCTTCAGTTATCGTGAGCTGAAAACGCTGTTAATACAGAATTATGTCAGCAGCAGTAACACAACTTAGAAAGCTGTGAACTCCGATGAGCCAAGCTTGAGTGCTCTGGTGCTGCACAGACCATGTTCAAATCCCAGTGGTGACACTTCCGTGCTGTGTGCCTTTGGCCAAATTCCATAATCTCTGAGTGTGTCTCCTCATCCTACCTTGCAATGATGACTGTCAAGTGGGATATACTTACTTTACAGAATGGAGAGGATTAAACAAAAGTAACCACCACGGGGGTTAACTTTCCCTCATTTTATAGGTAAGAATATGGAGGCACAGAAATAAGGTTTTTACTGAGAGTGCAGTAACTTATAGCTGAAACTAGGCTTAAAATATTCTTGATTTAAGTATGCAAAACTGGGGAAACAAAGTATATACTAAAGACCAGTAGTTCTACTGAGAAGGATGGTAATTCATTAAGTACTATCCTAGGGTTTCCTGATAAATGCCCTTCCTTATCACACAGACTGCTGCTGAGCCACTGAGGGGAAGTGTAGGATACATACAATTCATGAGATTAAAAATCTAACATCTTACATTTACGTAATACTTTACGCTTTATACAGTGCTCTAATAGCTATGACTAATATCATTTCATTTCATCACAACAGTCTTATCTTTAAAAGACATTTTTTAGTGATAGGAGTAATAAAGAATTTTGTAAACTAAGAAATTTCAGAAAAAATACATTATTTTAGGTGTGAATAAAGGCAAATCATGACTAATGATTTTGTTAATAATTTCTCAACTTTTAATAAAAGTCCAAGTCTCCCCTAATTGTATATATCATATACAGAGGAGGTTAAATTAAGGGTTTAAAAAATAGCCACTTTGTTTGGAGGAAAAACTTGAATTTGTTACAAACTGCTTGAATTTGTTACAAAAAATATAGATAAGTGATAAAATGTGAAGTAAACTTTACATAACACACATAATCAAAGAAACAAAAGATTGCCACTAACAGATGTACTTTTCAAAATACATCTTTATACCTTATAATTTCAATTAAATGGGGTCTTCAATATTACAAGTCTAGACAAACCACACCTTCCCTCCAACCCTGCCTGTCCCCATCTTTCAAAACCAATGGAGACACTAGAAAATAAATTTTACAAATCCACAAAACTATTTAAAATAATTTTATTGGAAAACGATTGCTTTCACCGTTCATAAAAAGTTCAAATGTCTTCTGAGATATACCGCTTGCTGAACATAACTTATCAGAATCTTAACCTGTTGGATACTGGTTATGTGGGCCATGGGGAATTGAGTTTGGACTGGGAAACTGTATCATTGTTGCAGCATTATCTCACAGCACACACCCACCCCGTATATTCATAATACACCCAGCAAACTAACATGTCCAGTAGTCTTCATTTTCTCCCTTCTTTAAAGCCGCTTGACCTACTACAGAATCTAGTTAACTTACGCTTTCTCTGCAGCAAAAGCTTCTAGCTGGTTCCTGCTGACTGTCATCCTCTCTGTTTCAACCTACCTTGCAATATTGTGGCCAGGCCGATCTTAAAGTAATGCTGCATTGTTACTTCCTTCTTCAAAAATCAACGAAAGTTTTCCATTAATAATATCATATTCAAATTAAAGGTTAATTCTTACCTGCAACACACTTGGTTCTTTTATTTCTTCTTTTCACCTGAGACAAAGTCTATCATAACGCAATGTGTAATGAGGACGTTTTCGTTGAAAACTAAGATTTAAATGCCATTTTTATTTTCTCCCACACTCTAACTACAATATATTAACTCACAGCACCACCTATCTTTCAGTAAAAGGTTAGAACACTAGGTTTACTTCTAGCATAATGCCCAAGTGACTGGCCTATATAATTTAGTGTGAAATTATGTCCAAAATGAAAAAAAATAATCTAAAAACAGAAGTTCCATTTGATGCTATATATAAAATACTTGTACCAGTATACATAAATTTCTTAGTAATGTTTCAAACAAAGGAGTCTGGCCAGCAGTATACTGATGATTTTAACCTGGCACAAGATAGTTAGTGAGCAAACTGTAAATGTTAACTAGAAGTTGTAAGCAGGGAGAGGCAGGGCCATTGGACTTATAAATTCTAACATTCATCGATATTTTCATGCCCAAGCGTTAACTGGAATGTGTGTGGCCTTTTCCTTAGAAGTCTTCCCAATGTTTTAGTCATTTACCCTATTTAAATGAAAAAAAGATGACCAGGTATAAAATTTCATTTTTATATCCTCTCAGCACTACAAAGAAATAAATATATCTGAAGTGTGGAGAGGAGCCTGCCCATGCAGCACACAGTTCATTCTCTGTAATGACCCAAACCAAGTGTCCCATACTCCTTTCTCGAATCAGAGTTCTTCTTTGACCTCATGCAGCGATAGAATTCTTTTTACAAATGACAATTTCCTTACATAAACCTAATCACTAGAGAAATATTAGAGAAAATATTTTTAGTCAGAATGAATGAGTATTTGTGCCAACAGCTGAGAAGTCAAACCACAAAAAGTCAAACCACGAGAAGCAACTGATACGTGAAAAGCCTGGTTGTGATGTCCACAAAGAAGGCAAACGCCGTACATTTACGCAGCGTTTCTCTGTGTGGCTCACAACATCTGTAAGGTGGGCTAGGGTGGGCACCAATGCTACTCCACCACAGGCAGACACACACTATGGTTCACGCACGCCATTCCACGGAAAACAGAGCTCCAAGACATGGCTTATTTATGGCTGTCTCACATTCTACTTCTCAGACATAAAAATTCAAAAAAAAAAACCCAGATAATTTCAGTTATAAGTGAATGAGAATAATGTAACATAAAAGTTATTTTACAAGTAGCACTTGGTTACAATTTTCAGTGTAACCGTTAATATGGCAAAAGTTTTACAGACTATTTAAGAAGGGCTTGTTAAAGCTGAGTCATTGGATTAAGCGTCTTCTTAACAACTCATACGCTGGGCTCCAGTTATTCTAGAAAGCTCTTCTGCTGAAGTGCACGTATTTCACCATGTCGCCCCATGAACTTGTAGCACAGTCTTTCTTCTGGTGGTTCACGTCAACAGACACTAACACGAGCCTCTCTGTGACTTGTTAACTAAATTACCCTCCAATTCCGGCACACTTATCCTGCCAGTCGTAGCAGAACTGTTAAAAGAGAACTAAGCTCTTCTAGCCTTTAAAATAATTAGTGAAAATCCCACATTATCAATGCAATAAAAAGGACAGTTCTCACCTGCTTCACAAGCCTTCTCTTCCACTCTTTCCAAAGTTTCACATTCCATACCCGTTACTTTCCTAATGTCATATTAATTTTAAATTCCTTCTTTCCTTCTGTTGAGTTCCTCTTTAGCTGTTCCAGGAAAATCACTAATCTACCTCAAAGTTTTACTAAACTTCTGTGTCCTATCATTTAAAATACAATAGAAATTTTTATATTTTTTCACATTTTATTGTACAATACAAACTTGATTAAAATGCACTAAGAAACAACATTTTGTGTTTAAATCAACACTAACTTAAAATGTTTGGTAGGAAATAGCATAATTTATTTTAATATATTCCAACTTAGTGTGAAGGTGAGCAGTTTATTTCTGAAGGTTTAGATATTTTAATTATAGTTTATTATTAAAACAAATTTTTTGGTCTCTCTTTCTCTCTCTTCATTTTTGATTTTTATATTCCTCTTTAGTTCACAGTGTCATAGAAGTGAAAAATAAGACTGATAGAAACCACTCTAAAACATATGGCTTTATATACATAAAAACGTCAATAATGTTGCCACAACCCCTAATACAATGTGATCCTTACTTATTTACTACCATCCAGAATAAATTTCTGTACATATTAAATTGTTCAAGTATATCTAGAGCAGTGCTTGTAAAACTGAGGCCCCAGTGCGAAATTAATGGGATCCTCTTTGAAGATCACTTCTAATTTCAACATAATTAAGGTAGAGTTCTAACAACTTTTTGATATTATAATTTATGATACATTCTCAAATATTCTAAAATGCTCAAATGAGCCAAACATATAATTTAATATACATCTAGTTTAACACCCTTTTGTACAGCACCAGAGGTTAAAAATGGATCTGACTAACCAAATACTCTCTCTCTTTTGTTAGTTACAGTGTGTAATCCTTTATTTCTACAACCTTAAACCCAAATTGAAAATGAAGACAACTCAGGTCAAACTCTCTCACCTTGAATAAACAAACACTTCATCCACTGCACACTTAAATTTCTAACTGTTCTCCTAATAGCGTATGTCTCTGAGTAACAACTATAAGATTAACTAAGCCAAAAACCAACTTCTTATCTTTGAGGACTAGATAAGTCGGACAGGATTCTCTAGGTTTGCTTTAAAGCTTTCGAGAAACCTGGTAGCCAGTTCATCATCTACTGCCCGGCTGTCACTGGACATGGTGACCTTTATGAGCTGGTGCTGCTGCAGGCTGGCGTTCCCCTCTTCGTCTCGAGTGAGCCTCAGCACAGGCCGGAATCTCCCAACAGACAAGATGCAGGCTTGAGGAGGGTTGATCACTGAAGTAAATTCATCGATGCCAAACATCCCCAAGTTGGAAATACTAGAGGAAAACAAAAAGCTCTGAAGGTGGCCCATCCTTTATCAAAGTGCCCTTTCCCTGAATCACGCATTTTTACTTTACTAAAACACTACGTTACAGAACCTTATACCAAGTTACTCAAAAACTAAAGACAAACAGAACCATTTATAATAGTACCAAAAAATAAATATTGACACACATACAAACATTATGTCTAATATAAAGATTTATTCAGCATTGAACTGGAAGTCCTAGGCAGTGGAATATGGCAAGAAAAAGAAATACAAGGTATAAGGACTGGAAAAAAAAAAAAAAAACTGTCATTCACAGATGAACTGATTGTATACATAGAAATTCTAAGACTACAGATAAAACTAGTAAGATTAGTAAGTGAATTTAGCTAAGTCATTACATAAAACGTCAATATAAAAATTCATCTTGTATCTATATACAAGTTGTAATTAAAGAATGAAATTTAAAAGAATACCATTTACAACAGTATAAAAAAAAATCAAGGAATAACTGTAATGAAACATATGTAAGACCTCTATCCAAATACTACAAAATAACAAAGAGATCAAAGAACTGAATAAACAATGGTTTATACCATGTTCATTGACTAGACGACTCAATGCTGTAAAGATGTCAATTCTCCTCAACCTGATCAAAAGTTTCAATGCAATCCCAATCAAAATCCCAGCAAGGTTTGTATGTGTGTGTGGGTGTGTATGAAAAAATGACAAGTTGATTCTAAAATGTATTTGGAAAGACAATCTTGAAGGTGAACAAAACTGGAAGACTTTCATGACCAGAGATCAAGTTACAGCCTGGTGGTACTGAGCAAGGAAGGGACAGACAAGCAGGCCAATCGCAAAGAAGAGAGGACACAGAAACAGACCAAACAGACACATGGTCACCTTCTCAATGCTGTGGAGAAGGAATAATCTTTTCAGTAAGTGATGCTGGGTCAACTTAATATCCACATGGGCAAAAAAATGAGAATCCTGACCTCTATCTTTACACCATACACAAAATCCAATTTCAGATGGATTGTGATCTACATGTGAAAGGTTATAAAGCTTCTAGAAGATAACACAGAAGAATCACTTCATGATTCTGGGACAGGCAATAATTCCTAACATAAAACAAACATTACCAACTATAAAGAAAAATACTGATAAATAGAACTTCATTAAAATGCAGAACTTTTGTTCATTAAAAAAACACCATCAAGAAGGCTCCAAAGGCAAGGTAAAGAGTGGGAAATGGTATTCAAAATAATGTATATCCTACAAAGGTCTGTGTATCTGGAAATAAGAACTCCTGCAAATCATTTTCAAAAATGGACATGAGATTTCAACAGGTACTTTTATCTGATTAGTTACTAGATACCCAATGGCGGAGAGATAAATGAAAACAATATTCAACATCATTAATTTGCATTCTTCTGACCATAGGGTACCACTACAAACACCCCAAATCATTAAAATGTAAAAGTTAACCTTACTAAGTGTTGGCAAAAATATGGAGCAATGAAAATTCCCACACACTGCTGATTGAAGTATAAATTTATATAACCATTTTGGGAAATTTTTGCCAGTATCTATTAAAGCTTTCAACCCAGCAATTCTATTTTCAGGTCTATACAAGAAAAACTATGTGCACAGATTCACCATAAAACACAAGAATGTCCATAGCACCATTACTTGTAATAGCACCAAGCTGTAAACAACACAAATGCCCAACAACAGTAAAAGGGATGCTCGTATATTTATACAGCATACCATGGAACACTATGCTCTGCAATAATAACAAGTAGATGACCCTTCACATAGCAACAGTTAATGTCACAGACATCGGTGCTGAGTGAAGCAAGTCAGACACTACAGCATAGGTATGTACATAAAGATCAAAGCTAGCAGAACAAATCTACAGTGACCATTTTCAGAACAGTGGTTACCTTCGAGGGGGATGATTAGGAAGGGGAGAGGGAGTATACCTTGCCTTGGTTGGTTAGTTTTCTTCACTTTGTAAAACATTCAAGCTACACTCAGTGTACTTTATTGTATGTAAGTGACAAACAAAAACAAAGCTGATAATAACTGAAGGGCCTAAGTATTAACCTTTTTCCCTGAAGTATCTTAAAACGAAAGAACACAAGTAGAAAAAAAACAGTTGAGATTTATAAATCTACTGCATTTATAATTTTTAAAAAAAATTTAAGTTTCAGGGGCTGGCCCGGTAGCGCAAGTGGTTAGGTGTGCGCGCTCCGCTGTGGTGGCCCATGGTTCGCCAGTTCAGATCTCGGTATGCACTGATGCACCGCTTGGCAAGCTATGCTGTGGCGGTGTCCCATATAAAGTAGAGGAAGATGGGGATGGATGTTAGCCCAGGGCCAGTCTTCCTCAGCCAAAAAAAAAAAAAAAAAAAAAAAAAAAAAGAGGAGGATTGGCAGATGTTACCTCAGGGCCGATCTTCCCCACAAAAAAAAAAAGGTTTCAGACCCTAAACATCTTTCTATGAACATGTGAATGGGTTAAAACGAGCTAACCCTACTAACTTTGACATGAAAGCCTAACTAGTCTGAAGAATATTTTCTGTTGTCTAAATAAAGTATGTGATATTTAACTTAAATTAAAAAAAGTTTCAGAAAATAAATGAAACAGGTTGACATAAGCCTTATATCTGTTCGATGCTACTGATAAGTAAGAGTTTAAATTTTACCTAAAAGATCCTCCTTGGTATTCTTCAGGTAACAACTTTCCATCTCTTGCTTTCTTTGATAGAGCCTGAGACAAATACAAACAGAGCATGACAACCAACACTACAGTCCACAGTTGATTTTGTCACCTGAAATGGGTGCATGCTCATCTCTGATACGCCCTGATTTGATTTTATGAGATGTTACACGTCAAAATAATTTTTTCTAATACAATTAAAAAATGAACAAGGTAGATCACAGATAATACAAGAATCTAAAGCTGTAAATCAAAACTAAAAAAAAATCACTTCCCTTTAAAAATTCTTCAAATGTTGTAATTACTCTATGCACCATCACTATGCAGAATGTTTCAGTGTTTTCTTATACATATAAAGCAATTTTCTATTTTCCCTATAAAATTTTTTCTTGTAAGACACAGTATTAGGTGAAGCCATTCCTGTCAATCTGGCAGCTTTTAAATAAATTATCCAATAACAACAATTCACAACCAACATATCAATTTTCATTTTTCAGTGTTTGCTTCTTTTTTACCCATAACATATATGTCAGTTATAAAAAAACAGAATTTTATATATCCCTTCTCAATATTATAAGCATCTTTTGTGTTGTTAGTCTTTATAAATGATTTTTAAATGTCTGCTTAACATTCTAAAAACTGCATCTTCAACAATTTAGTCATTCCCCCAGTGTTATAATTTGGTTCATTGGTTTCTTTTGAATTATTTCATATAAATTCTCAGAAATGGAATATAGCTCTAGAAAATGGACATTTTTTTGGTTCTTGATCCTATAGCTGAAGCATTTCCTGAATGAGCTAGTCCAATTTACACCGCCACAAGGAATATAAGAATGTAGCAATTTCATATCATGACTGACAATAGTGATTTCTAAAAACTTAGAGGGAAAGACAGATGACACTCTGAGAGTAACATTAAGAAAAGAAGTTAAATTTCCCCCACCTGCACTTGCAACCAGCCACACTTATGTTCATTTTTATGTTCGATGCTTCCAAAGCAAAGGAACAGAGGTTGAGTTATTACATAAAAAATTAATAATGAAGTACTTTATGCAGGGAATAGTAGAGAAAAATGAAGCTATATCATTTGGGTAGATGAAATAAATCTGGTGCTTACTTAATTTTCTGTATTATATAGCTAGCATAGGTAAAATCACCACTGGTAACTATTTCGTTTTAAACCACAGATAATTAAACTGTTGAAAAATGAAACAATCTTTAAACATCTAAAAATGATCTCAACATATCATTGTGACTTACTGCCAACAGAAACAATTAAATATTTATATTAGCTGGATATAGTTACTTATAAAACTGTTTGGATCCAATATGAAACACAAAGAGAAATTTAGACTTGTATAGTCCCTGGAATATGAGAAGTAGAGAGAACAATCTACAAATGTGTTTTCCTGCCTTAAGCAATGTAACTGCTCACATGATTTGAACAGGCACATATCACATGAACTTCAAAAGGCATTTCTTTAAAGGCAGATGATCTCAACATATCCTGATGAGTTACCAGGCTAAAACGAATAAAAAACATATTCATTTAAAAAACTAGGTTGCAAGCACACATAATACACTTAAAAGAAAATCTCTGTAGACCCTAAACACATCAGCAGGATATTCCTGTCAATGAACTCTGAGAGCCTGGAATAAGAATAGATTCTGAGGAGGATCATGGATTCTGAAACTTTCAAATTCTCACTGGGATTTCCTGGCAACGTGAACTTAAAATCAAAGCACATGTTCCCTGAACCATCCAGCTGACAGGATATAATACAAGACGACTAGCAAACATTTCTCAACTATGTCATGTGCCTTACTAATTCATTCAAAAAATTTACCGGGTACTAATGAGGTAAACTTTGCCTCTGCCTTTTAAGACTGTCACGATTAATGAAGAATTAGGAATAGCATGGGATCTAAGGCTCGTTACTATATTACCTTCTTAGGGAACACAAACTTGAACTTGGCTGAGGCATGCCTTTAGCCCCAAACTTGAACTTGGCTGAGGCATGCCTTTAGCCCTGCACGTTGACATCCTTGGGATTACTGAGGGTCAACAAGTAAATATTTAGTGCAGGTGTTATTAACCTGGGGTCCACGGATGATTTCCAGGGACCCACAAACTCCTTGAAAAAATAATTTCAATAAAAACAGTTTTTATTGCAAATTAAAAAAAGAAATTCACTGAGCAACTACCATCTTCCAAGCACTCTTCTAGAACTGGATATATGGCAATGAACAAGACAGTCAACATCAGACAGCAGGGGGCATAGAAGGGTCAACAATCAAAGGTAATTTCAAAGGCTTTACTGCATGAAAACAATAAAACAGGGTAATGTCAGGAAGCTACTTTAGTTATGGAAGCCACAGAAGGTCTAAGAAAGTGGCATTGGAACTGAGAAATACCTGGGTTTAAATAAATCCTCACCTCCACTGCTTTCTAGATACATCACCTTGGGCAAATTTCTTAAAGATGCTAAAAATCAGTTTCCTCAATTTCAGAATGGGGAAGTTAAGGTTCCAACTATAATATTGGGCTAATAGGATGAAATGAAGTGCTTAGCCTGGTGTCTGATATATCACAAGAACAAGCGAGAGTGGAGTGCTGATCACAGAGAGCAGGGTGGGAGAGAAGCAGGGACAATGAGGAGCAGAGAAGCAGCCAGAGCACAGCAAACCTGAAGAGTGGGTGGGAAGTACAGGAAACGCTCAGCACCGCCAAAGGCCCTGGACACTCCAGAGGGTTGGGACTGCCCTTCCCACCCCTGGGAGGCTGCAGACACTGCTTCCTTACCACGCCAAATTAGGCTCTTTCAGGATGCAAGGCCCGATAACATGGCTACTTTAAGAACGACGCATTACAGTAGTAAAATTGGTAAATTGGTCAGAATCAAAGAAACCTCCCTATAATGGTTAACTTTAGGAATTTAATATATATAAAGATAAGGAAATTCTAACTCTGTAGTTAAGTTCAATATCATCTGAACGTCACAAAACACTAAAATATATGTATTCTCACGGCTGCTGAAAAGGCTTGATGAATAAAAGGCACGTGCTATCCTAGCAAGCCAACCTCTCTGACTTTGACTTCCCAACTGGCCACGTTAACAACACCTCTCAAGAAAAACAGTTACATTTTTATCTGTAAAAATACACTCTGCAAATCTTTTCAAAAAGGAATGAAACAAGACTTAAAAGTGTCAATCCCACGAAGGTCACCTTTAATTACAACTAACTCTAAAATTTCAAGGGTAGGCTTTTTATTTTTCTTTTATTTTTTTGTGAGGAGACCAGCCCTGTGCTAACATCTGCCAATTCTCCTCTTTTTGCTGAGGAAGACTGGCCCTGGGCTAACATCCGTGCTCACCTTCCTCCACTTTACATGGGATGCCGCCACAGCATGGCTTGACAAGCGATGCATCAGTGCGTACCCGAGATCTGAACCTCGGACCCCGGACCGCCACAGCAGAGCGTGTGCACATAACTGCTTGCGCCACCGGGCCGGCCCCTAGAGTATGCTTTTTAAACTAAATTACCTTGCATTCACTTATTTATTTTAGGCAAGTAGGTCTATGCATTTATCTACCGCCAGCTCCCCCAAGAAGTCTTTTTTTTTTTTAAAAGATTTTATTTATTCAGTTTTTCCCCCCAAAGCCCCAGTAGATAGTTGTATGTCATAGGTTCACATCCTTCTAGTTGCTGTATGTGGGACTCGGCCTCACGTTGGACGGAGAAGTGGTGCCTCGGGGCGCGCCCAGGATCCGAACCCGGGCCGCCAGCATCAGAGCGCGCGCACTTAACCGCTAAGCCACGGAGCCGGCCCCTCCCCCAAGAAGTCTTATCTTCTACTTTTATCCTCATAACTGTTCCACCACTATACATAAAACAGGTCCTTGGTAAAAGAAAAGAGAAAAGAACCCTCATCTAAATGAATCTGAAATTTTCAATGCTAACACTTCAAGACCTGCCAAAAAATACACTTGAAAATTACTGAGGCTGTCAAAGCTGACCTACTGCCTATGTTCCTGCCTACTCAATGTGATGCTTTTGGTGAAATCAGATTCTTCCATATTGGAAGAGCTACAAAAACTGTTTTTAAAGAAACCCAGGAAAAATAAAGTACCTTTGCTTCTGGAATGCTAAGTGCTTTTAGGGAGGAATGGAAGAAACTTTCTTTTAAGAATAAAATGCTGTTAACAGTGAGGTCTATCTATTACCACTTTCACAGAAATACAGTTTCAACTTTAAAATCTATCTGAAATATTTTTAGAGGTGAATTCTAGACTTTGGGCAATAAAGCATTTGTCTATAACTTGAATGCAGCTGGCCCCAATTTACTTGTATATTATACCTGAATTTTCAAATGTTAAATGTTCTTAAAATGGGTTGTACCTGGATAAAAACTTAAATCACACAATTGACACATCACTTGGAAATACCAAAAAAAAAAATATATGTATGTATGTATGGCTGTCTGTCTCTACCACAGTGTGACCAGGCCATGTGCAGACTTCATCAGAAAGGCAATCCTAACATCCTGACAGCACAGACTTCCCCTAAGACACACCTTTACTGAGTCAGCGATTTCCCGTACACCCTTAGCAGCAGCATCTTTTATGACTGGTGTCATTAAGCCTCTATCTGTTGCCACAGCCACTGAAATGTCAATAAAGGGCAGTTGCTTCGGGCCCTCTCCATCCCAGCTTACATTAACATCTGGCATTTGCTAGGAAACAAAAACAGAAAAAATATGTTACTAAAAAGTAGCTTGAGACCAAGGTGGTTACAGAAAAATAACACTATTATGCACTTTTGAAAGTGAATATAGCCAGACAGAAGGAAATAAAGACAAATTCAGTTTGAAAAAATGGTTTGGATCTCTGTGTTAAATATTTTTTATGTTTGAGAAGAATAAACACACCATCTTTTTTGAAGCAAGCTTGAGGAAATTCTGATGATATACACATTTTGATCTCTTTATATCATGGTTAAAAAAAGGGCTCCCTTTGTTAAATCTGATTGCAAGAAGGCATTTAACGTTTGCTGTACTTCTTGCCTCATATGATGACTGACATGACCTTGAGGAGAAGAGGGCAGGGGCGGGAGTGGGGCAGTGACAGTCACCCACATCATTCCTGTGACATGAAGGAAGCCTGATTTTCCAGTGCAGCCCTAGGAGATATTAGCAGGCCCTTAATAAAAGACTTCCCTATTTAAGAGATTCCCCAGACTTCATAAACATATGATATACAGTATATATAAGCACGTATATATTTAATATATATACCACAGCACTGAGGATGAAAAAAACAGATGAGATGACTAATTGCCTAGAAATAGTGTGTATTGATAATGTTGCCAAACATCACAGGAGAAAATGATGCTGAAAAATAGAAATCAAAAACTAATTTCTGGGTCGGCCCTGTGGCTTGGCGGTTGGGTGCGCACGCTCTGCTGCTGGCAGCCCGGGTTTGAATCCCAGGCGCGCACTGATGCACCGCTTCTCAGGCCATGCTGAGGCTGCATCCCACATACAGCAACTAGAAGGATGTGCAGCTATGACATACAACTATCTACTGGGGCTTTGAGGGAAAAAATAAATAAATAAAATTAAAAAACAAAACAAAACAAAACAAAACTAATTTCTCTTCTCAAAAACTCTTTCTATAGAACAAGATCCAAGCCTCCCAGCACATCATTTAAGCATGGCAATCCTTGATTTGATTCCACCCTACCTATAATTTTACTTCTGACCATGCCCCTAAGATGAACTTTCCACTTTACAGATTTCTCACTGTCAGGCTATGCCCATTTCCCTTTCATCCCTTTTCATTGGCTTTTCTCACTCTCCATCTTTCAAGGCTCAGCTTGTTCATTCACCAATGCCACTATGTCAAAATAATAAAGTCTCAACTCTTCAGAAGATTTTTTTTTTTTTTTTTTGTGAGGAAGATCAGCCCTGAGCTAACATCCATGCTAATCCTCCTCTTTCTGTTGAGGAAGACCGGCTCTGAGCTAACATCTATTGCCAATCCTCCTCCTTTTTTTTTTTTTCCCCAAAGCCCCAGTAGATAGTTGTATGTCATAGTTGCACATCCTTCTAGTTGCTGTATATGGGATGCGGCCTCAGCATGGCCGGAGAAGCGGTGCATTGGTGTGTGCCCAGGATCCGAACCCAGGCCGCGAGTAGCGGAGCGTGCACACTTAACCGCTAAACCACGGGGCCGGCCCCCAGAAGATTTTAAATTCTTCATAGCCAACACGAAAGTAAAAGAGAAAAAAAAAAAAAAACCCTCTCACAAATGAATAGCTGGCAAATAAATTTAATTAGAAAGCTATGTAACAGGGCCAGCCCCATGGCTTAGCAGTTAAGTGCGCGCGCTCTGCTACTGGCAGCCCGGGTTCAGATCCCAGGCGTGCACTGAGGCACCACTTCTCCGGCCATGCTGAGGCCGTGTCCCACATACAGCAACTAGAAGGACGTGCAACTATGACATACAACTATCTACTGGGGCTTTGGGGGGGAAAAAAAAGGAGGAGGATTGGCAATAGATGTTAGCTCAGAGCCGGTCTTCCTCAGCAAAAAGAGGAGGATTAGCATGGATGTTAGCTCAGGGCTGATCTTCCTCACAAAAAAAAATAAAATAAAAAAAAAAATAAATAAATAAATAAAAGCTATGTAACAAAAACCTATGGGACATAGCCCAAGTTGTATTCAAAGGAAATTCATAATCTTGATCCTTTTTATTAACAGAAAATAATTATAACGAATTATACATGCAAATTTTCTAACAAAATATTTCTAACCAAAATAAACCAAAGGAAATGAAGGAATACATAAAGAAACAATCAATATAAAAAGAGTGAGAATACAAATATGCAATAATAAAAGCGGGACACCATTCAGAAACACCCCAGGCACTGAGGACATTAAAATAATTAGAAGAAACAAATTTAAATGACTCCAGGCTAATAAGCTTAGGACTCTAGATGAGAAAAACGATTTTCCAGGAATATATATGTTTCTAAAACTGATTCAAGGAAAAGCCGAGAATTAAACAGCTCAATAATCATGAGGAAAAAAGGGGAAAGTTACCAAGGCCCCTCCTCAAAATAGAACCAGGCTCAGATATTTTTACTGGTGAATTCTATACAACTTGAAGAAATAAAAATCTTTATAATATTGAAACAAGCACAGAGAAAGGAAATGGAAAGAACATCAAAATTCATTTTATTAAGCCACCGATTTTAAAAAAGGAAAAGCCTGACAAAGCTAGCACAAAATTTAAATCACAATTACTTACGGCTTCTAATATAAAATTATGAAATGAAATGTTAACAAATAGCTAACGACCCCTAAAGATTCACTTATAGAGGGCAAGAATGATTCATAATTAGAAAGTCATCAATATAATTCAAAATATTATCTGGTCAAAAGAGAAAAGCCACATGAACATTTAGATACCAAATGGTTGGAAAGGCATGCCTTTAAAACTCTCTATCATTGTAGTGTTGAGAAATAAAAATAAATTCATTATAGATGCACTTTAAATACAGCACTTCATAAGCAGGGATCATAAAGTAGCCTAGTTCTGGGAAGAAGGCATGACAGAAAATGGTGCTGAGCAGGGAGTCAGGAAGCCTGGGTTAGGTGTAAATCCAGACACCTTCACTGAAGTGGAGGCTCGTGTGTTCACCTGCCTCCCTGTTACCCCACTGGGACACTATTAGGCTTCTGAAACCTAAATTGTCCCAAACCAAACTCCAGATTCCCTGCCTCAAACCTGGTCCTCTCCTATTCTCCCAATCTTGGTACATGGAAAGTTCCATTTTTCCCACTGTGTGGGCCAAAATCCTCACCCTTCTTTCTCTCACACTCCGCATCCAGGCCATCAGCAAATCCTGTAAGCTCTACTTTTGAAAGGTAACCAAAATCTCTCCTTCACCCCGCTCCACTGCTACCATCTCCTGTCCAGCCACTGTCATCTTCTACAGCCTCCTGGGAGAGCTCACCACTTGCGCTGTTGCCTCTCCACAGGCTATATTCCACACAGGACCACGCAAGTCGCTCCTTTTCCCTCTGAAGTGTAAGTCAGATCCTGCTAGTCCTTTGCTCAAAGTCCTCCCAAGGCTTCCTTCTTACTCATAATAAAATCCCTAGTCCTTACCACGGCCACCAAAGCCTCATGTACTTTGGGCCCTCTTCAACTCCTCCCTCTTTTTTTATGGTTCATCTCATCTCCGAGCCTCTACTCTTGCTAACTCCCCTCCGGGCATGCTTGTCTGAATGATCAATCCACTCCTCACAGCCTCTGTGCTGCTGTCCCTCTGTCTGGAGCACTCTTCTACAGATATCTACTTGGCACACTCTCTCTTTCACAGGCCTTGTCTCAATTATCACCCTGCCAGAGAGGCCTTCCTTGCCTAACCTTTGAAAATAACACCCCTAGTTATCCTGTCCCCTTATTCTGCTTTCCTTTTCTCCTCAGCACTTTCACTATCTGACATATATTTGTTTGTCTCTCTCAACTAGAATATAAGCCCCATAGGAGCAGAAAATATGTAGGCTTTTCGTCAATACTATATCTCGAAGGCCTAGAATGTATTTAATATAAGATAGGAGATCAATTAGTATTTGTTGAATAAATGGTCTTTATTCTGCTATTATTAGTTGTAAGCCCTTCTGATTCTCAGTTTCTTCATCTGTAAACTGAGGGAGTAAGATTAAATGATAGAATATTTTTAGCAATAAAATTATAAAATTTTTGTGACTTAAAAATAAGGGTTCTATTTATCATTAGAAAGAACCCAAGACATGAGACTACTTTAGAAGCCAAAATTATCTGGGGTTTGCTACTTACTTTAAGGGTAACAGCTGCTGCCTTGATGATAAAATCGTTTACTGATACTTTAATGTCATCTGAAAGAAAAACAAGCATATTAAAGTGAGTCTTCATAACAAAACTTCAGTGCTGACCACTATGATTTCATACTTGCAACTTACGGACTGCACTGACAAACAGTGATAAAAAATATTACAGGTGTGTGTTTGTTTGCTTAGTCAATAACGTTCCCCTGTTTAGAAAAACTTGCATTATATCATTATATGAGGTTGAGAACCAACTCTCTTGTCTCTAAACAGACAAATGGTCTCTCTGTGGTGTGGATAACCAGGAAGTTTATCAGATGACTCATTTTTTCTCATTCTTTTCAAATGTCCTTATTCTGTGTGTGCTTTATAATATATTGATTATATTACAACAGTGGTATATGTAGTCACTTTAAAGAAACAAATATATATAAAGAAAGGAGGGTGTTCAAAAATTTCTTTTTACTAACGAGGTGTATAACAAAAAAATTTAAGACCACTGCATTAAACAAGAGCTGCTTTTTAACTTAACAACACAGGACATAGCAAATGTCAGAGATGAAGCAATACAAGCAGAGTTCCTAGTGCAATGAATAGAATGAAGGCCTCTGTCTAGTTTTATGGTCAATCCATCTCCTTCCAGTATACATAATGATTTTAAGATAAAGCTGAGGTGCCCTCCCTTCCCACAGAGCTGATCATAACTAAAGTATATGACTTATACCTTTGCTTCCCCAGTGGGTATTAAAAAGTGTTGGAAAATGTAAAGAATACTTGATTCTTTATTGTAACAAGCTCTAGAAAAAGACTTTAAGACCGAGATCTAGTCAATGGTATGCAGCAGCATACACAAATCCTGTTACTATAGTATCATGGAATTTTATGTGAACAACAGCTCATTCCAAAGGCATGCTGGAGATTTCAGAAAGAGATTAGATGAATTACCATAAACCTAAATACCGCCCGAGTGTCATGGTAACTGTCAGCTGCTTTTCTAATTCACAACTCTTCTGATTCATACTTCCAGGAACACGTACACATTTTTGTTTGTTTAAAAGCCCTTTAGGAGTAGAAATATAAATGGATTTCCAGTGCTTAGAGACTTTTAATAGTAACCACATACAAGACTTAGTGCAAAAATTCAAATACACAGACATAATATTTTATGGACTCATTATGCTTATTTCTCATGCCTCTCAGCCTCCTCCTGACTTGATCTACTCTCCATAGGTCTCCGCCCAAACCACCTACCAACTGATGATTTCCAAACCTGCCACCCAATCCACAGCCCTCACCTAAAATCTCTGTCCCCATCATACAGTATTCTTGAGTGGACCACTGTCTGCATCCTGACTGAAACGTTGTCTCTTTCTGGCGTCTATGTCACTTTACTCTCTGGTTTTCTTCCACTCTCTGCTCACTCACTCATTTTCAGTCCCTTCCTCTCATTGTTGGCATCTCCCCAGGTGAGAACTTTCAGTTCCATGGTTTTGATACCATTTATATGATGATGATTTGATGATTCCTCCAAATTCTATCTCTAATCCTGATGTATCTGGAGCTTCAGACTCATATCCAATTTCTCACATAACATTTCCACTTACATGTCTAATAGACATCATTTCAAACTTAACATGTGCAAAGGAGAGTTTTTTCAAGTTCCTCTTTTTGTAACTCTTTATTATCAAAATTTTCAAACATACAGAAAGGAGGCCACGGGTGACATTTATTAAGAAGAGAGTAGGAAATAGTTTCTAAGGAAATATCAAACATTCTCACTGGCATATTGTTATAAAACAAAGTGTGGAACATGCTTATAGAATATTATATATTATAACCTTATATAGTAAAGGGGAGTGCAGGGCCGGCCTGGTGGTGTAGTGGTTAAGTTTGCGCGCTCTGCTTTGGCGGCTGGGGTTCGCAGGTTCGGATCCTGGGCACGGACCCATGCACTGCCACCTAGCCATGCTGTGGCAGGCGTCCCACAAATAAAGTAGAGGAAGTTGGGCATGCTCAGGACCAATCCTCCTCAGCAAAAAGAGGAGAACTGGCAACAGACGTTAGCTCAGGGCTAATCTTCCTTATAAAAAAAGAAAAAAAAAGAAAGAAAGAAAGAGGAGTGGAGATACATAGATCATGTGGGCTCTTCTAATCCATACCTCCACAGAAACGGTACTGCTTGCTGCCTCATGAGAACAAGGAACTAGGAAAATTATTCTATAATTTTATAGATTTATAAATTTCCATGATAACCTCTATGTCACAACTAAGCAAGCATGATTTGAGACCTATAAGGGGAGCTTCCAGAGTTAACTTTTTGAGTACTGATCACTTTCCTTAAAATAGCTTTCCATTTGCTTCCTTGAACTTTTAAAAGCTGTCAGGTTGCCTTCATCTGAAATCTTGGAAGTCTGTATCTAAACTGACTCATCAGTCCTGCTTTCACTTAGGATGTAGAAAGCCACAAGAGAAAGCTGTTTCCATCCTAATAAGTGGGAGAAAAACCAGGATAAACTGCAAAATCATAACTTTTTGGAGTTCCTTCGGGAGCTGAGGTTACACAGCAAACAGGTGAACATAATGTAAAGGGTGATGATGCTCTCTGGGGACAGGCAGACACAGGAAGTGATTAACCACAGTCAGATATGGGAAGGTCTAGAACAGAGAGTGGGACAATGTGTATGAACAAACGGGGAATATCTGTAGAGAGAGATGGAAACTATAAAAACTCTCAAATGGAAATCCAGGGGGAAAAACCATGCTATCAAAGAAAGAATTTCTTTTGTCAAGCTTCACAGACTTAATACAGCAGAGAAAGAATCAGTGAAATTGAAGTGAGGTCAACAAAAACTTTCCAAATTGAAACACAAAGAGAAATCAGGGTGAACAAAAAAATAACAGAGCATCTAAGAGCTTTGGTCAATTTAGTCTAACACTCATAATTAGAGTCCCCAGGAGAAAACACACAAAGCAGAAGATACAGGTAAAAATAATGGCTGGGAGTTCCAAAATTAATGAAGGACAACAAACCATGACTCCAAGAAGCTGAGAGTAACCCAAACAGGATAAATGCAATAGAGAAAAAAAAACACTTTAGGCACATAATAGTCAAATTGTTAATGGAGAAAATCTTGAAGGCAGCCAGAGAGGGAGGAAAACATCAGATACACACGGGAACAAAGATTAAGAATGGTTGCAGATATTTTGCAAGTCAGAAGATAATGGAATGGTATCTTTAAATGGAAGGGTATCTTTATTTAAAGTACTGAAACAAAAAACTTGTTTACTCAAAATTCTGTACCCAGCAGAAATACCTTTCAAAAATGAAGGAGACACACTCATTAGGATGGCTACTATAAAAAAAACAGAAAATAACAAGTGTTTGCGAGGAGGTGGAGAAACTGGAATCCTTGCGCACTACTGATGGGAATGCAAAATGGTACAGCCACCAAGGACAACAGTACAGCAGGTCCTCAAAAAAATTAAAAATACAATTCCCATATGATCCAGCAGTAATACTTCTGGGGATATAACCAAAAGATTTGAAAGCAGGGACACAAAGAGAGATTTGTATATTCATGTTCACAGCAGCATATTCACAATAGTCAAAAGGTGGAAGCAACCCAAGTGTTCATTGACAAACAAATGGATGAACAAAATGTGGTGTATTTATAAAATGGGATACCACTTTGTCATAAAAAAGAAAATTCTGATACATGCTACAATATGGATGAACCTTGAGGACAACGTGCTAAGGGAAACACGCCAGTCACAAAAGGACAACTACTGCATGAGTCCACTCATATGAGGTTCTTAAAGTAGTCACATTCCTAGGACAGAGAGTAGAATAGTGGTTGCTAGAGGTAGGGGGAAAGAGGAATAGGGAGTTATTGTTTAAGGGGTACAGAGTTTCAGTTCTGCACAATGAAGAGTTTTGTGAATGGATGGTGGTGATAGTTGCATAACAATGTGAATGTACTTAATACACTTGAAAATGGTTAAGACGTACATTTTATCTTATGTATGTTTTACCACAACTTTACCAAATAATTAAAGAAAGGGAAAAAATAAAGGAGAAACAGATTTTCTGGACAAAAGCTGAGATAATTTATTGCCAGCCAACCTGTACTACACGAAACATTAAAGGAAGTTTTTCGGACAGAAGTATGATACCAGACAGCACTCCAGATCTATACACAAAAATGAAGAATGACAAAAACAGTAAAAATATGGACAAATATAAAAAGGCTTTTTTCCCCTCATTTTTAAAACTCTTTAAAATATAGTTGATTTGCTAAAGTAAAAAACATTATATATTCTAGGGCTTATATCCTATGTAGAAGTAAAACATGAGAACAACAGCATAAAGGACGGGAGGGAGAAGTGCAGGTATATTGTAAGGTTCTTACATTATACATGAAGTGGGGTAAGAAAAACGTGCAAGGAGACTGTGATAGGTTACAGAATTACATTGTAAACCCTAAGGGAATCACCACAGGAAAAAAAAAAGAGAGAGAAGAGACAGAATAGAAATATAATGGAATCATAAATAAAAAAGTAATCCAAAAGGAGTCAAGAAAAAAGGAAAAACAGGAAGAAGAGAGGGGACAAATAAAAACAAAGGACAAAATGGTATAAAGGACAACAAATGGTACAAAGCAAAAACTAAAGACAAAATCACTAAACGTGAGTGGTTTAAACACCTTACTTTAAAGACAGAGACCACAGGACTGGATAAAAAAACCAGACCCAACTAGATGTCACCTGCAAGAAATCAGTTTAACTATAAAGACACAGATACATTAAAAGTAAAAAGATATAATATAAAAACACTAATCAAGGGAACCTGGAGTTGCTGTAGCAACATTAGATAAAGGTTTGAGGATGAGGATTATTATACCAGGAACAGACAAGGACACTATGTGACAGGTCTATTCATCAAGAACACACAAAAATCTTAAATGTGTATGCCTAATAACAGACCTTCAAAATATACAGAGCAAAAACTGACAGAACTAAAAGGGGAAACAAACAAATCCACCATTACAATTCGGCATTTTAACACTCCTCTTTCAAGAACTCATAGAACAAATAGATGAGAAATCTCCTATATCTAAGGATATAGAAGACATGAACAATACTATCAACAAACTCCACTTGACATTTATACAATACTTCTCAAAACAAAAGTAGGAAAAAAAACCCCCACAAAAGTAGAACATGCATTTTTTTCAAGTACACATGCAACATTCACCAAGATAGACCCCATTATGAGTATAAAATAAATCTCAAGAAATTTAAGACTTAAATCATACAAAGTGTGTTCTCTAGACACAATGGAGTTAAACTAGAAATCACACAAGAAAGTTAACTGAAAAGTCCCCAAATATTTGGAAATTAAACTTATACTTCTAAATAACTCATGGATCAAAAAAGAAATCACAAGGGAAATTAGAAAACATCTTGAATTGAATGAAAAGGAAAATAAAACATATCAAAATTTGTGGAATACAGCTAAAGCACTGCTTAAAGGGAATTGAAAAGTATTATATACTTATGTTAGAAATAAATAAAGTTTATTATATTATATTGATCTCAGTTTTCACCTTAAGAAATTAGAAAAAAACCCAGCAAATTAAACCAAAGCAAATAGAAAAAAGGAAATACTAAAGGTTAGAGCAGAAATCAATGAAAACAAAATTACGGAAACAATAGAGAAAGCTAGTGAAATCAAATGCTGGTTCTTTGAAGAGATCAATAAAATTGATAAACCTCTAGCCAGCCTGATCAAGAAAGTCAGAAGACACAAACTACTAATATTGAAAATGGGGTCATCACTTCAGGTTACATGGATGTTAGAAGTGTAATAAGTTAATATTATGAACAACCTTATGCCAGCAAATCGATAACTTAGATAACATAAACAAATCTGAAAGACACAAACTACCAAAGCTCATTCAAAAAGAAACAGATAACTCATATCTATTTAAAAAATCCAACTCATAGTTAAAAATCCCCCTATAAAGAAAACCGCAGCCCTACATCGCTTCACTGCTGAATTCTACCAAACAATTAGAAATAAAACCAATTCTACCCAAACTCTTCCAGAAAATAAAGGAGGAGGAAACATTTCCCAACTCAGACTATGAGATCATATCACAAACCCAGAAAAAACATCTCAATAAAAGAAAACTACAGGTCAGTATTTCTCATATACACAAGTGTAAAGATTCTTAGCAAAATTTTAGAAAATAGAATCAAGGACTATATGAGAAAATTAATGATTAAATGAGTTTTAATCACTCATTAGTGAGAATAACTCATGTAAACAAGGTTGATTCAACATTTGGAAATCAACCAATATAATTCACCATATTAACAGAAAAAGGAAAGACTATCTCAAAAGATGCACAAAAGGCATCTGACAAAATTCAACATCCATTCAAGCTTAAAACTCTCAGCAAATCTCCTCAGCCTGAAAAGGAAATCCAGAGAAAACCTACAGTTAACATTAAAGATCGCATGCTTTTTCTCAAGACTAAGAACAAGGCAAGAATGTCTGCTTTTACCACTCATATTCATCACTGTAACAAAGGTCTTTGACAGTGCAATAAGGCAAGAAAATGAAATAAAAGTCTTGCACACCAAAAAAAAAGAAAGAAAGAAAACATCAGTTCATGCTAAAAATTCACGTCTCTCAGCAACATAGGTTTTAACTGATTTTGGGGAGGAACATTACAAATTTAATAACCTTAAAACGCATTTTGAAGAAGAAATAAAAAATTAAAACTTGTACAAAGAAGAGTGATATCTAAGATATATTTACAATCTAAAACATTCTTGAATTAGTTTTGGATTTTATATGTTCTGAGATGTTAAGGACTGCTTTGTTCAGGTATCATACCAAAAAGCATGATTTCTTCAAAACTACAGAACCAATTTATTTCCTATAGGATAAGAGAACCAATCACTTTCTCTAGCACTGAAATATGCCCAGATGATGAAACTGAAATAACAAGCTGTACAATGTACATTTTATAAATAAAGGATTTCATGATGGTTAGCATGTATATTGCATTAAGTAAACTCAGCTTTACTAACCTCTGACCAGATTTTGTCTAACTTTTAAAACAGCTCCAAGGTCACAGTCGACAGTCATATATGCATGAGGTATGGTACTTTTAGATTCAGTTAACCTCTTGGCAATCACTCTTCGAATATTGCTAGCAGGGATTTCAGTGAATGTGCCCTGCAAAGAAACAGCAATCTTCCATTAAGCCATAAACAGAAGGAGAAAAATCCAACAAACTTCATAAGTGAAATCCAGTCTCCATTACTTATAATAACTAAAGTTAATACAGGAAAAGTACTATTAAAATTTTTGATATAAGGAGGAATGTAAGAAATCTGAGTTTTAACTTTATAGTATATGGCTAGAAAAAGTAGAAAAATTAATGTTTCAATTGTGAATGGGACATCTTATGTTACTAGGTTTAAGATGAGTTAAAAAAAAAATCTATCAATCATTAATAACTCCCCCATGCATATGCACATACACACACACAGATACCACCTGTAAGCAATTTTTGTTACAAACATCATTTCCTAACAAAACTCAAAGCAGCCAATAAATCAACAACTAAAAGCAATTCTTACTTATAAAAATGGCATACAATAGAAAAAAATAATCCAATATACTGGATAGTCTGCTAAATTATTTCTATTTTGGTTTGTCTTTTTAAAAAAATCACAGGAGTACTCTATTTCCTAGAAATTCATAATATAAAGTATGAAGGAGATGATAAAATCTTCCTGTAACTTTACTGTAGCTTTTTCCATTCTGTTCCTTGAACCTCTAACAAAAGCATGATGGACCTTAAATTACATCTAATTCCTTCCGTGTCCTTCACTCCATTCTGGTACTTGGTACTTGGTTACAATCACTTCAGGATAATAAAAAGAGGCAGAGAGTACAGCTGATTTCTTTTTTTTTTTACAGATGCTCCCTTAGGAAATTAAACATTTTATGTTAGCAAAGCATTTGATCAAATAGAATAAGTGCTCTCTATATACCATAAGAATTGAAAGTAAGATTTATCTTCCTAATCTGAATAACTTACTTTTTAAATAAATAAGATTTGATTAGTACACATAAACTTGTTGTGTATGTAGTCTTGAATCATTAATGTACATTAAAAAAATCTGTTTCCTATGTGAAACTTATACTGTTTTCAATTCTTTTAAAATATTGGAATATATTTCTCCATTAAAAAGAGCAGCATAAGTTTATTTATTATTTTTTAAGCACCCATCTAATTTTAAAAAACCTTATTAACCTGCATTTCTTCTGATGGGACGCAAATGACATGAAAGGTACTAGGAAAGGGAGACAGAGGGGCAAAATGGAGCAATTTGAAAACAAAAAAGGGCTGTTATATTGCATGTGTCCGAGAAGGAAAGAAGGATAGCTATATAGTCTCTACAGTTCTTCATAGTGAGACTATCTATTCCCCTCAGTCAAAAAATAAAACACACCCACAAAAGGCAGCTAGTGCCAGTTACCAATTATTAGTACCACATCCAAGAAAAAAGACATGTAAAGTGTCATGATTAGAGAGCATCTACATGGTACTGAAGTTGTGGTACATCTAAATTGAACCGTAATTCTTATGTTCTATTTGGAGATTAGCACTGTAAAAACAAACTTGGTTTGTGCTAGGAAATCTGCAAAACAAAGCCTTTGGAGTACTTTGTCTTCTAAGACTTTTACCTACTTTACTAAAATAGATTGCTAAAAGTACTAGTAAAACAGACAGTAGTGGTTCTTATTTTCTCTTTCACTTAAATCTGAAAAACAGAATCTCCACAGGTGACATTACCACTACATTAGGTTGTCCTGGAGTTGACACCGGTGGGATCATGGGCCGGGGATGAGATGGCCTGGCCATGGCCTGTGTGGGCAGAGGAGCCGTGGGAGGGGTTGGAGGGGTTGGGACGGGTCTGGACTTGGTGATCTTGCCCATCTGTTTCAACTGGACCAGTTTGAGAGCATCCCTGGAGATAAGAGGGAATTAACCATGATTAGCAACAAGGAATATGAGGAACTCTTAGAAAATGGAGGTGCGATGTGGAGGGAAGACACAGAAATATATAGATGTCAAGGCTATAATGCAAAATGAATTATTTGAGCTAGACAAGTAAATCTTGTCTCTTACCTGGTCTGCTGATTCATATTATTTGTCCAATGCCTACAATATTTGTACGTTTTCCAAAATCAAACAACAATTAGAATTTTATCAAAGTATTAGGTGTAGATAGTTATTTTGCAAAAAGAAATTTCCCTGGGGTATCATTTGGTAGATGAGCAATTCATACATTACACCATACCTTCATTCTTTATAACAGTGAAATCATTGTCACATGACATTCAGAAAGTGACAAGTTTATTGTGCCTATGACTTTCATCAGGATATTTACTAAATCATTGTTTATTCTAGTGCAAATTAGATTATGGCCAGAAATCACACCATTTTTAATTTTGCTCAATATGCTATCAGCACAATCCAATGTAACAAACCTAACCCACAACATTGTTTAGCATGAAATATAACTAAACTAGTAACAAACTTGCCTTTGTAGTATTCTGTAAAGCAAAGGTATCTTTGTTTTTTAAAAGAATATAATTAGACTACTAAATATGTCAAGCCCTCAATTCACTAAGCTAAGTTACAGTGGGTATACAGTAATGTATTTTCTTAAAATAGTTTTTTTTGAAAATTTTATTATCTGACAATTCAGAAGTACCTTTTTCAAAAAAAATTTAGATTTAAAAAAACGTTTTAAATTATATATATTTTTTAATTTTAAAAAAAGGTTCTACATAATCTAAAAACAATGTCAGAATGACATACCTCTTAAAGCAAATTATATTTTTAAAATTTCTCAAACAGTTAATACTTTGGTATTTTATAAAAAGAATTGGTGAAGACAAAAAGCTAGTATCCGTTGAGCATATTTGAGATGACAATTATCCTCTCCCAAACAAAACCTTTTACTGGATATCTTTCGGCAACATGATAGGCACAATTCTGAGATGGCCCCAACATTGCTGTTTTGGTGTACACAGCCAGTGTCATCCCTCTTGAGTATGGGTGGGTCTGTGAATATGATGGATGCCACTCTCATGATTGGGTTACATTATGTGACCAAGGTGATGGGATTTTTTAGACATAATTAAGGTTCCAAATTTGTTGACTTTGAGTTAATCAAAAGGCAAATTATCCTGCAGGGGTCAGACATATCAGATAAGCCCTCTAAATGGAACTGGGAAGTCCTGAAAGAAGAGATTTGAATGGAGAGAAATTCTCCTGCTGGCCTCGGAGGAGCAAAGAGGCATTTGTGAACTGCCTACAGAGATGACCACGTGGCAAGAACCTGAACAGGAGGCCTCAAGGAGGTGAGAGCAGCCCCTGGCTGACAGCTAGCAAGGAAAGAAGGGCCAGAGTCCTATAGCCCCAGGAACTGAATTCTGCCAACAACCACTTGAGCCTGGAGAGGACTCAAGCTTCAGATGAGACCCTAGCCCTGGCCAACAACTTGATTTCAGCCTTGTGAGACCATGAGCTGAGAACCCAGTCATGCTGGGCCCAGACTTCTGACCCACAGAACTGTTAGATAATGAGTTGGTGTCGTTTTAAGCTGCTAAGTCTGTTGTGACTTGTTATGCAGCAATAGAAAACTACCATAGGCAGGAATGCCCTAACCTGGAGCCCATCATTAGAGGGACCCCCTCCAACGTACTGGTACATTTTTCATGAAGGAAACTGTTATATAATCTTGGGTCACTAAGTACGGAAAGAAAGAATACAAGTGAGAAAATGAGCCCCTTACGTCTGTGTCGTGCTTAAGTTAACTATCTAAGTTTACACCAGCCATGTGAGGGAGGTGTTATTACTCCCAATTTACAGATGAGTAAATAGGCTCCAAGAGATTAAACTCCACGTCTAAGTCAACATTTCTCAAGCACCTACTCTGTCGCAGGTGTTGGGGACATAACGTTACACAAGACACTTCCCATTGAGGAACGTTATCCCATAGGGCAGTATGTTCAGCAGGTAAACAAATGGGTAGATGACAGCAGAGTAATGAGATGGAGACGGACGGACAAGAGGAGGGGTTATTTTAAAACAGGATGGTCAGGGAAGGCCTGAGGAGGTCACATCTGTGTGGAACAATGTGAAGGAGCAAGCCTGAAGAAGAGCTGGGAAAAGCATGTTTCCAGGCAGAGAGAACAGCAAGTGCAAAGGCAGTGAAAACAGGGCTCCCCTAAGAACAGAAGGCCGGCCAGTGTGGCAGGAGTGCAGGGAACAAAGCGAGAGGGCCAGAAGACAAAGCTGGAGAGGGGGTAGTAAGAGCTGCCAGGCCAGGATCACGGCCGCTATGGCCAACACCTGTGCACTTCTGGCCACTTTTCTACTACCTATGTACTTAGTACGCAAATTAAATATAAACTAAGGCCAAGTCAGACTAATTTTTTCTCACTAGAACAGACTAGAATAAGGATATCTCAGATTTTTTTTTTAAAGATTTTATTTATTTATTTTTCCCCCCAAAACCCCAGAAGATAGTTGTCTGTCATAGCTGTACATCCGTCTAGTTGCTGTATGTGGGACGTGGCCTCAGCATGGCCGGAGAAGCGGTGCGTCGGTGCCGCCCGGGATCCGAACCCGGGCCGCCAGCAGCAGAGCTCGCGCACTTAACCGCTAAGCGACAGGGCCGGCCCCGGATATCTCAGATTAACAGCAGCTCTGGGATTGAACGAGGCCTTTTACTAGTGAACAAAGGGTAGCATGGAAATAACTGGAAGTTCCCAGGGCTGGTTCTCAAAGCACGAGCCCCAACATGGTACTGGTTACAGAAAGACTGAGGGAGCAGAGGAGGCAAGTGTCCTAGAGAATGATCTTATGCACTGTTAAGGCTTCTGATACACGCTTACTTCTGTTTGGAAATTAATTTTTAACTTACTTATGATATTTATAACCAAAGCAGCATTTTACAGTTGTGATAACATTTACAGGTGAAGTAAATGACTGCCAGTACAATTCACTGTCATGAGCCAACACTCTAGCCAGACAGATACAAGTGCAAGAGCTGATATAAAAGAAGGCCTTCTGCTGATTCAGAAAAATGCCTCCCACCAAAGACATTTAGCTTGCAAGAGCTCTTACAAGTCACAGCCTAACATTACTAGTCCCTCTCCATTCTGTATGGGAATTAAATACGTCTGTAACAAAACCTATTATTAATCTGGGTTTTAAATCGAAGTTTAGCATTAGAGTGGCATATCCAATACACAATAATTGCTTTATACAAGGATCACTAGTTTACCCTCAGTAGTCAGTCAAAAACAAACAAACAAAACATAACGAACATTTGAGGAGACTAAAAAATCTAAAATAATGCCTGAATACATCTATTTTAAAAAAAAGGCTGGTCATACTAAATAGACACATTTTTATTTCACTATCAGCATAACTATTATACATACTATTTAATCAAGAAAATGCAGATTAGTTTCATCCCAGTAGTAACTGAGATTCTTGGGTAAAACAGCACTCGGTGAAGAATAAAAGTAAGGAGGAGTCTTTAATCCTCTTTACAAGCGAGTGGAAAATCAGTTTGGTCCCTGGTTCCCAGTAAACTTCTATTGCTGATTTCACACCTACATACCTCATAGAGTATAACTGTAAATTATTGTTTAATAACAGTCAATAATTTAGTTTCTATAATGCAGAGAATGATTTTAATGATTTCTGTCCATTAAATAATCAGACTAAACTGGAAGAATTAGGCAGGCAGTAAGAGCTATAAAAACTAGAAGAACTAACAGACCACACACTTCTGCAGAGAGGCTGAGGATGCTCAGGTAGCTCACTCAGGGCAGAACCTTTTCTACCAGACCCTGTAATTCATCTGGGCGTGCTATGAATTAGTTTTAAAAAGAAATATCACTGAAAACATAACAGACACTTGTCGGTCATGCCTACCAGATTTCTGATGCCGCGATATGAATACAGACATTAACTACAACTACGATTTAAAATGTAGATACGCCCAAGATGTTAGGCTGCAGGCAGAGAACCTAAAAGTGTTCTGCCTATAACTGTGACCCTGGCACTTGTTTTCTTAAAACAGTCACACATACAGGCAAAGGAAATCTATGCTTTTGCACAACATATATTCTGAATGATATGTTTGCTTTAACGCAACGTTAAACTAGCAACCCTGACATCAGGATTTTCTTCATAAATACAATGGATCAGAGGCACTTCCTCAGCAGTTGGAACTGACCCTTCTGTCTTACTGGCACTTTCAGTTGGCAAGGTGAGGAGGAAGGCTGTCCTTCACTATTTTAAGAATGTGTGCTAAGGTATTTTGGGGGCAGCTTATACCAAAGCCTGCAATTTTTCAATTTTATCAGATGACATTTCTGTAGATGACACCAGGACAAAATTTTTTCAAAAGCTCACCTTAATGTTAAAACACAGGCATCTTAGTGGTATACAAAGCAAAAATCCTTAATAATGCATGCTTTAAGGATCCATTTTTCTCATGAAGTCTTTTGTAATATGTCATATTTTGAAGAACAAAGGTTGACTCTCTTATGGTGGGGAGTTAAAGAATAAGGGCAGGGAGGGGAACTGGGTAATAGGAGGAGAAAGACGGCAGGAATATTAAAAACATAACTCTTGAATACTGCTTCCTTAGGGTATCCAGCAAGACAACAGCATTTTGCTCTCCTGAGGAAATGTTAGATTACTATTATAACTCTCAGTTTGGGTTTAAACACCATACTTGCTCATCATGTGTGCATTACGCACATATGGAGAGAGAAGGGAGACGGAAGGAAGCTCTACTTCTGTATCCCACTGCTGTCACATCGCTGAGCTGCCTCCTAAAACGTCACCCAAACACCAGCCTCAAGAGCCTTTTCTCAGATCCCTTCTTCTTTGACTCTTTACCCATCTCATAGATGTCCCCCAACACAGGAATTTTAGCTTTCTACAAAGTTTACCTATTGACGATCCTAATTATAACCATCACTTTATCATCTACCAAATCCACCTCTCCAGTCCCAAACTACCTCCTGAAATGCACCGTCACCTCGCTGATCCTGATACCTGAATGGCTTGTGAGCACTCACAATAAGCTTCAAACCAAACACATTAGTTATTCCACCAAGACAAATGCTTCCCCAAATCCCTCATTTCTATTTATGGAGCCAAAATTTCATCCCCCAGACCAGAATCCCAAATTCATTCCTTGACTTGTTCTGGATTCTATCCTTATAATGTCGTCTCTATCAGTAATCTCCCTTTTACGTCGTCCATTCACATTCAAGTATTCATTCTCTCTTACCTGGATTAGTTTATGAGCCTATTAATTTATCTCCTTACCTCAAGTCTTTTTCTGCTCTAATTTATCTTACACAAATTTGCAAAATTGATCCTTCTAAGGAACAGCTATGATTATTTTACATTTCACCAAATCTTCAATGATTAATAAGTTAAATATAGACTCTTTAATCTATCCCTCAGATATACAAGTAAGTCTACCTTGTTATAAAGAAAGTTGCTTTGTCTCATTTTTACAGAGTTTTACTAACATAGAGACTGGTAGAAATTTAACAAATATTAAGACACAAATAGTAGACACTATTAAGGATCCATATTGGGGAAAAAACTAGGTTTAACTGGCTATCAGGATTCTTAATTTTAATTTTTTATGGCTAAGTGAAAGTTTTAAGTCATTTAACTAAAAATCTACAGTGTAGGATGTTGCTTTCAGCCAGGGGTCAGGACAGCTGACTTCCAACTCACGTAAGTATGGCAGGAACGTCACGGTATATGTTTAAGAAAACCACACACGTGTTTGATTAACAAATCAGTAAGGCGGCAAGACAGATAAATTAGGATATCTAAGAATTAAAGCTATATTGCTTTCAATAAAAGAAATATCCAACAATAAACCAATGCTTTAATGAAGAGTAAAATAACCCAATGAAAAAAAAAAGAAAAGTCACCGGGTCCAGTGCTGCCACTTAAAAATTTCATAACCTTTGCTCTATCTCAACTTACAAAAATTTTGGCCAATATTACTGATCATTTCTAAAACTAGATAAACAGAGAATAAGCATACTGCTTTAAAATGTTAACTCAATTTGAAGAATTGAATATTACTGCCAACAGAAATGTGGCACATACCACCACAGTAATTTCACATTAGTTTGTATGCCTATTTGATTAATCTTTGTTTTCCCCACTAGACTAAGTTTCAATAGAGCAGGGGCTATCTGTTTTAATATACTCTTGAAAGACACAAAATTTTAACAAATGGAAAGACATACCAATGTTCTTTAATAGGAAGACCTCAACATCATAAAGATGTCAGTTCTCCCTAAGTTAATTTAAAATGTGATGCAATCCCAATAAAATTATCATAGTCCTGCCCAACCCTGCCAGTGGGGCTAGATGGATTGTTTAAAATTCATTTGGAAGAATAATAAAATAAGAATAAACCAAGAAAACTGGTTTATTGAAAAAGCAGAGCAAAGATAGCTCTATCGGATTTTAAAGCTTACTATAAAATATTTCTAATTAAGAGTGTCATACTAAAAAAAGTGAGGTATTAACTCATGGACAGACAGATCAATGGAATAGAAAAGAAAATCTAAAAAGAGACCCAACCTCATACGGAAATTGCTTTGATCAAACAAGTGAACAAAATCCAAATGAGGAAGAATGAAATTATTTTTAAAAGTGTATTTCCATGTTTTAGAAATTTAAATGTGATTGCGTGATCATTTTATACAAACTTAAAACAATATAAAGTTTCACCATTCTGTACTCTAAACTTTCTGCATTTAATCACTATTTCTAAACATCTGGGTTCAGTTACCAAATTAGATCTGTTCTTCAGTAATGCTGCAATTATTCAGAAAACAACCCTTGCATAGAATACAATTTTATACCGACAAAAGCAATTAAAAGTACAAAAGAACAGTGTACTTCCTTTTAAATCTTACCACTGAATAAGCTCTTCTTTAAATACTTTCAGAAAAAGATGGTTATGATAAATAATGGAATTGGTTACTACATAAAGCACACACATACTCTTTAGTGAATATCCCCCGGGGGCCAGTGGCTGTGCCCTGGCTAGCATCCAGTGTATGTTTTTCCAGAATATTGCGGGCAGCTGGACTTAAACGGAGCCTAGGAAGAAAACACGAAGATTAATGGAACAAATTAACACAACACTTGATTCAAAGATATCTAAATGTCAACAGTTTTGCTGATTATTAGAAAAATAAAAACTTACAATAAAGCTAAAACAACTCCCATAGATAGTCACAGTCAAATAAATTAATCTGTACGAATCTGGCTTATTTTACTACCAAGACATTTTCATACTGGTTACTACTTAAAAAGTTAACTGGTTACTATTTCAAAATATTCTTTTAATAAGAGTAAAAATTCGTAGGGAGAGAGTTTCTACTCTGACTAGTAACTTTTCACACGGCTCCTCATCACACACATCAGTGAGGAACCAGCTATATTGTTCCTTCATGTATTTTTTATTATAGTAAAATATACGTAAAATTTACCACTTTAAGGTGTACAATTGAGTGGCATTAAGTACAATCACAAGGTTGTGCAACCATCACCACCATCCATCTCCACAACTTTTTCATTCTCTTGAACTGAAACTTCGTACCCATTAAACAATAACTCCTCCCTCCCCCAGCCTCTGGCAGCCATCATTCTACTCTCTTCACCAATCTGACTACTCTGGGAAACTCCTATAAGTGGAATCATACAGTATTTGTCCTTTTGTGACTGGCTTATTTTACTTAGCATAATGTCTTCAAGGTTCATCCATGTCACAGTGTATGTCAGCATTTCCTTTCTTTTTAAGACAGAAAAACATTCCACTATATGTATATAGCACATTGTGGACACATGGGATATTTCCATCTTTGGCAATTGTGAATAATGTTGCTTGAATGTGGATATACAAATATCTTTTTGAGTCTTTGCTTTCAATTCTTTTGAGTATATACCCAAAAGATGAACTGCTGGATCATATGGAAATTCTATTTTTAATTTTTTGAGGAACTGCAATACTGTTTTCCACACCTACACCATTGGTGTGACTATACCATTTTACATTCCCACCAACAGTGCACAAATTCTAATTTCTCTACATCCTCGTCAACACTTATTTTCTGTTTCTTTGTTTTTTGATAATAGCCATTCTAATGAGTGTGAAGTGTTATCTCACTGCATTTTTGATTTTCAGTTCCCTAATGATCAGTGATGTTGAGCATCTTTTCGTGTGCTTACTGGCCATCTGTATACCTTCTCTGGAAGAAATACATATTTGAGTCCTCTGCCCATTTTAATTGGGTTGTTTGTTTTGTTGTAACTGAACTGTATCCTTCATGTATTTTTTAAAGTTCTCAGTATTTACATGAAAACATTTTTACTTTACATTCACTCCAGAAGAGTAAGAGAGACAAAAACAATTATGTTGATTCTACAGACAAGGAAACTAAGGCACAACAAAAGGTCACACGACTAGTAAATGTCTACTCTTCAATTAAGACCTTTAAGCAAAGCAGCAAACACGAACGACCACTGTTAGATGGAAACAAGAGTCAAATGGGCTGGGCTGGAGTTTATAACCCACAAACGGAGAGGAACAGACGTGGTGCTTGCTGCATTTCAGGGAAACAGCTCCAGCTGATAGGCGCTCAGTACTACCCAACTGTCACATTCTTCAAGAGACACTGAGACTTTAGATGTGTATGTAAGATTAACTAGTAACCAACAAATTAAAAAATGTTTCCAAAAAAGAAAATCACTGTGTGGGCCGACACTGTGCAGGTTCATGGGTCAGCCGGTTGTAACCCACACTGAGGGGCCTCTGACCCAAGTAAGTCTCGAATGACGGATCTTAAGGGAAAGACAAAGCACACGCTATTATCTTTGCAAGGGGAGAAGAGCATTAAGTACAAAACATCTGTGAGCCTACCTTCTAATTTTCATGGTAAATGAAAAAAGAGAAAATAGAGGAGTCAAGGCAGTGGAAACAGAAATACTGTGTGTAGTAATGGGGATTTCAAACTCAGTACTTCAAAACACTCAATTTTTTTTTTTTACAAGAACTGACGTTGGTAAATGAAACGAAAAAAATTTTTAAAAATGAAATGGTTTGCATTTTTATTTAAGTTCAAATGTGGTTCTTAATAGGACATTTTCTCTATGAAGAACTTTTTCTTATAAGGAAAAAGTAATTTTGTATAAACAGAATATTAAAATAAATAAATGAAACTTGTTAGAATTTTCCCAGTCCATCAATTAAAGCTATGTAAAGCTAAAGTAAAACGATGTTTACTAAGTGTCTGTGTTGTTACAGAACAAATGAACAAAACAGAGCTCCAATCTGTCTCAGAAACTCAAATGCAGACTAGTTGGAAAAGGAATGCATGTTAAAATGCTAATTCCATTTTATATCAGTTATACATGTGAAACTTTGGAATTCACATTACAGTAACTACCATTCCACGGATGGGAACACAAAATGAAGTTTGGTATATTGAATTCCATTCTGGAATCCTAAAACCTAAGTCAAGTCCAGTGTGGACACAGACTGTCTGCTTTGTTCTCCACTGGGTGTGCCGGGCTTTCACAGGACCTGGAACATAGCAGGTCTTCAATAACTGTCTGTTGTGGAATGAACAATGATGATAAAAAATAATCATGCCTAGGCCTTAGTTTCCTAAGACAAAAAAGGGAAGATCAGCAACTTCCTACTTACTGTACAAAGATGTTTTAAATATGATAATGATTAAAATACCCTAAAAGTTGCTGTAACTACTTTTTTTTTAAACATCATTCAAAGAAATATACTCACTGTGGTTTCCCTGGTGTGTATCCCACTTTGACAGGAGTAGGAATCTGCGGTTCTGGTGAGGGTTGAGGCACCGATGGTTTTGAAGTTGGTGATGGAGGACCTATATCTTTGGGAATTTCAACATGTTTCCAATCTTGTCCTTCTTCAACTAGCAAACCAATTAGTGAACCTAGCCGTATATTTTTAGATCCTTCTTCAATCTATATTTTAAAAAGAAAATAATTGCAGAGACAGAAAGGCTCATGACCTCATGAAGTAGTTTATTCCTTGGATAATTCTGTCCTGGTTAGAAAGATCTCTTAATTTGAGCTAAAATCTACTTCCAAGCCAGCCTGCCTCCTCCTCCTCCTCCTTCCACCCACCACCTTCCTTGCCTACCTTCCCCCTCTTACACCTTCTTTCACCACTCTCCCACTCCCAGGTACTAATGCTACCTCCTGAAACAAAGGGAAAAATCTAGAATCTCTCCTCTTTCTGACAGCCTTCAAATATGTAAGAGCTATCACTACCATCTTCTTTTTGATGTCAATCAGCACAAATCCAAAACAGGAGACTGCAGTTACATACCTCAACCACTTGTCTTTTGCAGACAGTTTCTATACAATGGCTTAGGAAGTCCAATCCCCCAAATTAGTCCTATTTACCCAAATAAATTTAAAGGAAAATCTTTTCAGTAACTTAGTCTCTGGAAAAAAGAACGTCCCATTGTATATTTAACTTTTTCCCTGTGTATCTATGTATTTACCAAACCTGAGAAATAAAATAAAATTTTATCAATTTTTTATAAGTGCATCAGAAACATGGTGGTGTCTCAGCTAACCAAACACTTTTTCATTGATAATGCCAATTAAAAGCATAAGTAAGATCAAAGATGAATTTTTTAACTTATGATAAATGTCTTTTAAGCCTTTCAGCAGCATTAATTTATAAAGAAAGGGTTGATTCTTATTTACTTGTTAAAAGTAGTCCCTAGAGAACCTTCAGATGACAGTATTTTATAACTTCAGTATTGGAACACATGTCATTCCTTTAAAATTTTCTACTATTCTCTTTCAATTACTTTAAGTAAGAGTCATTACAGAAGTAATTTAATGAATAGAATGCTAGGCTGCAGGATGCTCGCCCATATAGTAATTACAAGTAAAAGCATAACTCCGAGAATGCATTTGACATTTCTGAGTAACACTAATTTTGATGCTTATTAGTATGTGCACTATTCTTAAAATAATATGGCTTACGTACTGGGAGTTAGGAAGCTTCTAAGTTTACTAACTACTGATGGGGAAGAACAAGAACAACGCTCTGATGAAGCAAAATACATAGAAGCAATGGGTATATAAAACTAAATAAGGACGTTTAATGAATTGCAAGCTGTGAAAAAATACTCAACAACCCAAGAACAATTCGTTTAGTTTGTCACATACTAAAAAGTCTTACTTCTATGGACTGCTCATTTTTCTTTACTATGTCAAAAAGATGAGTTAAGATTATTATTAGGTCAACATTTTTTCTTCTTCTAAAAATGTTTAATTACCTGCTTATGAACTGCTAACTCAAAATCACAAAGTAAAATGACTAATTTTCTACAAAATTGATAGAAAAAGCACTAAGTGATATGAAGTCCACTTATGTTAATGTCTATCAAAACTGTATCAGCAATAAGATCAATATCCAAGTACAAAGATCATCACTCAAATGCAAAGCATTCTTTAAAAAACAGGAAAGTTTTGTTTTAAAAATGTCAATAGATGAATCAGACACTATACTGAATCTGAAAGGGACACCTCATCCTCTGTTTTATTTACTACAATAAATCATAGAAATGATTCCATACATACCCTACCTACTGACACCTTCACAAGTAGGCAATAATGAGCATTTAGTATCATTTTAATTTTTACCATACTGAAATATCAAATAAACTTTATTTTTAACTACTCATGCTTTTTCCATGTTTCCACCATGGAACATGAAACCCAAATACAATGCACAGGTGATATGCTACCACACAACTTGAACATGTAACAGAAGTCAACAGAAAACACTGTCTATTACAGCTCCACTTAAAGTCATTAAAATCACTAGAGGAATTGAAGACAATTTCCCTTTTACTATTCCCTTAGTGCAGTAAGAGATCTTTTAGAGGCATGCTAGTCTCCTGTAGACATTTGCTTATGTTGTGGTCAGTACATATTTGAAACTGGTGTCGACTAAGCAACAGAAGAGTAAACAATGCTCTTTTCAAAACTGTGTGCTGCTCCCTGAGTGAGCACTGTGGACGCCCTGGCTCCACTAGGGCCTCTGAGCCAGGCCACACCTCAAACACCCAGCTCTTCTCCCAGGCATTCGGCAACTTGATCAAAACTCTCTCCTACTCCTGAGCCACTGATTTCTTATTATCAAAGGCAGGATTTGTACACCACGCTCTGCTAAAACAGCTCACTAATGCTCAAATATTGGATCTGGAGTCTGTCATTCAAAGTATTAGCCTTTCCTCTCAGTTTTCTACCAACTTCCTGGGTTTCAATGCTGGCACTGTTACTTACTACTTATGTGACCTTAGTCATGTTTCTTTACCTCACCATGCCTGTTGCTTCATCTGTAAACTGGAAATAATAGCAGCTACTTCAGAGTTGTTATAGGATTGAGTTATATAATAAGACAGTTAGAATAGTATCCGCCATCTAGTAACTGCTACACAAACGTGAAAGGTATTATCGTTGTTATTATTATTATCATTATTATTGTGGTGGTGGTGTTTTCCTCCCAGTTACTGATTTTTAAAATGAAAAATACACTCAACATAGATCAAGACTGAACTACACAGGACTGCCCCATTGGTGAGGGTTGGAAATTCATGCCTCAAGGCCCGGCATGTGGCTGGCAGCCCTGCAGAGGAAACAGCAACATGTGAGACACTGACGTGGTAAGGCCTGTGACAAACTACTTCTCAATAATACTCATACAGAGGCTAAATTCTATCCCTAGGCCCGGATCCCCAAGATGGGGCCTCTTTACCAGAGACCTCCCCACGGGCTGATGTGAATCACCTGCAAATATGCTAACACAGCCCACACAAGCTTGTCAGTGTACCCAAGGATAGGAGATGCTGAAGTCCAGACACAAAATGTCTACCGTAATATCTCCCAACAGAGAAATTGTTTGAGGTGCTTCATTCCATTAAAGGTGCTAGTAGATATTGTCTGTTTTGATTCTGACATTAAAAAATAATCAACAAATAAAGCAGTTTTTAAAATATTTTTCTTCTTTAAAACACAGTAGTCTGAGAACTGCAGAGGCATACACGTGGTTAGTGGGGATAAGCTGAGTCACATGTCTGACTCAGTTGATTTGAAAACTTAGCAAAGATTTTCTCTCGTGGTTTAAAACTTTATACAGTTTTAAATTGTTTTTATTCTTTAATACATACTGTTTAACTTATATGCACAATGAACTTTGGTTTACAAGGAAGATACATAAGAAACACTGAAGCTGAAAACAAATTAGTGACAAGCTAAAACGCAGAGGGGGAGAAGAAACATTCATTAAGTCCTTGAATAACAGTCTGTCTAGCATTCAAGCGCCAGGCACTGTTCTAGCACAGTATTAACTCATTTAATTCTCCTAATAACCTTATTAGGTAAGTGCTATTATTAGTCCCATTCATGGACGAGGAAACTGAGGCAAAGAAAGGTTAAATAACTTGCTCAAGATCACAAGGTTAGTAAGTATCTGAACCAGGATTCAAATGCAGTCTGACCTTCGAGATAGCATTCAATACAATCAGTACCAAATCTGTGAATCACATTCACATGATCAGTACCGAATCTGTTAATCGCATTCACATGATCGAAATTATCATGTAGTATCTCAAGATGGTGCTCTTTTTAAAAACAAGCCTAAAAAAGAAGATATAAAAGGGGATTATAATTAATTTAGCTTTTAATTCATGAGGAACATAGACTGATTTACCACTTCAGTATGTTGTTTACTCATTTCAATATGAAAAAATTGGAACTGAGAATATGTTCCATTCAGTAGGATTTGCTCTGAGCTTTGAGAGGGTATTTTCTCAATTAAAAATATTACAGTTTACAGAGAAGAATCAAGTGAAGGTCTCACAACTTCAATATCAACCATAAACTTGCAAACTATAAAATGCAACTCTGAAGGCAACTGCAGGCAATTTCATGAAAAATAAGGGGAGGAGGTCCTAACAATAAAATAAAACCACGTTGAAAAATAGCCATTCTTTAGAAAATGCTAATGACACAGTATTAGAGTGAGAAACAGCTACGAAATTGATTGAATAACGTAACTAGTACCAAAAATAATTATTATTTTTTAATATTCAGATGACCAATAAAAGGAAGTATTTTTTAAAAAATTTGTTTTAATATCCATAGGTGTTAATTTTAGAAAAGAATTCTATTTTTGAAAATTGTTTTGAATAATGGTCTACCAATAAAATAAAAATCTATCAATAAATGTATTGCCAGTCAATGAATTAAAATTTCAAAAAATTATGTAAGTTTAAATAATCATAACATCCTACACCCGTTTCATGCGCAAAAGTATCCTGGTTTGTATGACAAATTATACAGTAACTCTAAACACGTTTGAAGCCAAACTAGACAATCTCTAATAAACTCTCCAAATATGTCATCCTAATATTCTGTTTTATTACTTTATCATTTAAAACACTTGCTGTCCAATTTGCTGAATAATAAATTTAAGACTAAGTTTATGAACTAATAGATGTGTAATAATTTAAGGTTTCTGCATGACTATTTACTAGTGATTAAATGAGAATTTAACAACTCTCCCATTAACTGAATTAAACTGGAAATAAATCATACTTATCTATACTGACAGCAATTACTCTTTATTAACATTGTTAACACCTTCTCAGAGCACGAGGGGCCAGACGACATGGCACACTGACCTATGACATTGTCAGCAACCTGAAATGCACTGCTAAGCAGCTAAGCGGAAAACGCTATCAATTCTGGAAGACTTTCACAGCCAAACCACCCAGAACTAGGACCAAGAACATAGCTTGCCAAAAGCACACACAATAAAATGTCGCTGGGGTTATTACAGATGATAGTTCAAACAATCTTTTTCCTTTTCAAAATGCTGCATGAATTAGTCAAAGAAACTATTTTTGGTACAAATATTTATATCTTCCTAGTTATAAATGTATAGAAATTTTAGCCTTCCATTCATATTTCCTCCAAGGAAGTATTTTCAACAATGTGTTTCAACACGGCTGTTAATATCACAGATGACAAGTAAAGGAAGTTTGACAAATTAGAATACAGGAAATAAAATATAAGTGACTAGAAAAAAGGGAAAGGGGCTTTTCTAGTAAGAAATAGGAATGAAAAACCATGTACAGATCTACATCTAATTAGAGTATAACATTCCACAGGGTGGTCTTTGGATAAAGTATACAAAGGAAGGCGTTATATCCATGCTCAAAGCAGAGGTGAGCTGGTGGCTCAGAATTAAAAACCCATCAACAATTAGCAATAGCTATAAATAGCAATTAGCAATAAATATGTGGCTTATTTGTACACATCAAACTACAGAGGCATGAATGGATACTTACTGCCCAGTTACAACCAACCAATACAAATTAATACACAAACATACAGATTGACGTGGGTGCTAACGGTCCCCAAGAGCTGAGTGAAGAATTGTAACGTTAAAGAGAATGGCGACATTTATTAACACTTGTTGTGTGACAGGTCTTGCTTATGTGTATTATCTTAATCTCTACTACCTATCCCATGACATAGGTATTATTGTATCTCCACTTTATTATAAAGAAAAAGGCACCGAATTCGCCAATCATTACATAACTAATAACTGGCAGAGCTTAACTAGCTATATGAGGCAGGCTGCAGTGTGACTCCAGAGCTGACAATCTTACTTGACACACCATACTATCTATTAATGCTCTAGAACTTAAGAAACAAACACACTCCATAGTTAATATACCACCTAACCATAAAATGCTGACTTTTCATATAAATTAATATTGCACTATAAAAATAAAATACATATTATAAAAAATTTAGAAAATACAGAAAAATAGAAAAAATGGGGCTGGAGGATCACTTAGTTGTACTCCCCAAAGACAAACACTCAACATTTTTACATTTTATTCTGATCTCTATATTTATGTTTTTCTTTATTTAAAGTCCTACAAGATTGTGATCCCTGTCCATTGGCAATTTTAAAAGTATTTTTTCAAAAAACCTTTTTGAACTTCTATTAACATATAACATATATAAAGAAATCACAGTATTTTTTCTAGAAACAATTTTTAATAGCTACATGATACTCCATATTTTCTTCTGCTATTTAAGTAACCTCTCGTACTGCTACACATTTTGGTTGAAAGGCTGAACTAACTTCAGCTTCTACTAATACCACCAAGTATTCAAGTTGTAGCTCCATAGTTTTAATTAGTCATAAAGCAAAGATTGCCCAGAGAAGAGTATTCAAAATTACTGCATATATTTAAATTTAGATCTAAAAGGAAATGACTTTGCTCTTGCTAGACCCACAAGCATAGTTTCCATAAAAATGCTCACGGAACAGAAAATATACTATCAAAAGACAAGACTGTCAACTCAATTATATTTAAGTACGTGAAATATTCTATACATACATCTATTTATATAAATATATTTTTAAATGTTTATAAAAATGTCCCAACTGTAAGGATGAGTGAATTGGACCAGGCCACCGAGAGTGGCTATGAAATCTGCAGACAAGAATCTGCACAGGACAACTGCACACAGCCTTGCCCAGAGAACAGGAGCTGGGCAGACAGTCACTTTACATACTTCCAGCCCTGGGAGTCCTAGCGATGGATCAAGATGGGACTTTTTTTTTTTTTCCATGTAATAAAAGTAAAACATTCCTTCTTTTTGATTTTATCAACTACAAACTTGAAAATTGCTAGCTCTAAGCTTTAACCTATACTTTCTTTGTCTTGGATTTCCACCTCAAATAATCTTCGCTCATCCCTCAGGCCAGAATGCTTCTCATCCTCAACAAGAGAACCCAAAACACTGAGCACCAATGTCACAGTTGAAATAGTTCTATGTTATCTGATCATCACTGGCTATCATTAGACATTAACACTAAAATATTTTAAACATCTGAATTAAAAATGTATTATCTCAGATAATACAACACTAAAAACAAAGAGGTAAAAATAAAAGGAAACTTTATTTCAAGAAAATTTACATTTAGGAAATCTTCATCCTGTTGAAGACAATCAAAATAAAAACTTACCACTATTTTGGCCAAGATGCCATCATCACTTGCATCTAAGGTAACCACAGCTTTGTCAGTCTCTATTTCACATAAGGCATCTCCAGCACTCACGGCCTCACCTAGAAAACAACACTGGGTTTGTTCTGTTTTTTTTAATATAAATATTAATATGTGAGTCTGTGTGTGTGTGTATGTGTGTAAAACACGAATAATGAATACCAAAATATTCAGTAGCTATTTCTGGGCTATGGAACTACAAGTAATTCTCATCATTGTGTGTGCGTGTGTGTGTGTGTGTGTGTGTATGTTTTGCTGTATTTTCCAAAAATACTATATTGGATATAAATTTTATTTGTTATAATAAAAAAGGGATTACAAAGATTACTGAACAAATACTAAAAACGAAATCACATTTTAGAGACAATAGCAAGGAATGCATATCCTCCAAACATATCAATTTCAAATCCCACATTCCTTCCTTTTTTAATATACTTTATTATTCCATGAAGAGAAAAGTTTATAATTAATAGCACTTCTGGGTTAACATCATAGGGTGAGTTTAGAAATCCTGTTGGCACCACACAGCATAAACAAATAAAGCCTATTAAGCATAAAAAGAGAAAATCAAAGATACAGCTGAGGTCAAATGAGAAACATTTCTGTGCAACAGAAACAAAATGGATACTCAACAATGTTGAGCAGAACCTGACTTGCTGGTTTCTGATCCAGAAGCAGGTTGGGGGCTGGGGGGGGGGGCGCGGGAGGCAGTGTCCTTTTGAGTAAAGGGAATGAAAGTGGCCTGCTGAAGACCAGGACTCAAATCAGATTCTCTACTTAAAGCTAGGGTTGGGTTAGGGTTCCTCTACTCATAAAGGAGGCTCATAAAATGGGGAATCAAGCCTGCTGACTAGGACTGTGACTTTAATCAGAACTGTGGGTCTAGGACTGTGGGGAACAAAACCACTGCCTCAACACCAGGATCTGAGCCAAGCCACTCTCTGGCTCCGTTACTGCAGCTACGGATATGTCCACTACCAACAGTAAAATCCCTAGAAAGGGGCTGGGGGAATGGGAGAAGAGGAGATGGGTGGGAAGACATCGACACACAAATCAAACCTTCCACTCAAAAGCAAACTGCAAAACAAAGTTCCAAAACATATGAAGAATTGTAACGCTAAGAAAGAAAACCCACAAAATCAATAACTGGAACAGAAATTCATTCCAGGTGCAGTTCATTTACTGCAACCTGCCAAAGATTTTAAAATAAGCATCTTGAGGATGTTCAGAAATATAAACGAAGGTAGAAGATCCATCACAAGAATAAGAGATTAAAAAAAGAATAATGTACAGAAATAAAACAAAATAATACCATGTAGAAAGGAAAAAACTAATTAGAAATCTTGGAAATGAAAAATACAGTCGTTGAAATAAAAAGAAACAATCAATGGGATATATTCTAGACTGGACATAGTGAAGTGAATTACTAAATCAAATATAGCATTAAGGAACTACCCAGAACTTAACAAAGAGAGATAAAAAGATAAAAAATAGAAAAGAGCAGTTTAGAGAGACAGACTGAGGCTGCAACGTTTGTCTAATGGAGTTCCTAGCTTTAAGGGAAAAGACTGGAGGGAATGGTTAAGGAGCAATACATGAAGACATATTTGTTGAGAATTTCCAAGAACTGAAAAGAGAGATATATACCCTCAAAATGAAAGAGTTCTGAATGAGTTTGGAATAGCGGTTATCTATGGCGTATTGACTAGGAGGGGGCACAGGGAGCCTTGTAGCTTGCTGGAAATATTCTATATCTTGAGTAGGTAGTGGTAATCTCAATATATGTGTGTGTAAAAATTAATAGAGCTTACACGTTATGTAAGTTATCACATCAATAAAAAAATAAACAAGAAAAAAGAGTATTAGACTATGTAAACACTAATTCATATTAGATACACTGCAGAGAAACTGCACACTATCAACAACAAAAACAATCTTAAAAGCTATCAGAGGAAAAAAAACCAGATTACCTCAGTGGAATGACAGACTGAGAGCACACTTCTCAGCAGCTCAGAAGACAACAGAGTCACATCTTCAAAAAGCTGAGGAAAAATAACTGTCTAGAATTTTATATGCAGCAAACCATCATTCAAGATTGAAGGAAAAGTATTTTTTAGACATATAAAGGCTAAGAAAATTTACCACTTATTGATGAACTATTACAAAATGCAGTTCATCAAGAAGAAAAGTGGACACAGGGGACCCATGGGCTACATGAAACAAGTTACCACAGAAACGGATAAAATGCTAACTACTAATCATTTAAAAGGTAATTTCTGAGGGTTTAAATACGTGTAAAACTCAAACTGTAAAAAATAATAAACTGGGTAAGGGGATGTTTAGTTGATAGTTAAAGCATGCTAAGAACTCTGATACAGATAAGTGGAAAAAACGCTGAATAACTCTAGACTTCACTGGAAAAATTTAATTAAGTATGTACCCCAAAAACTTCATAGTACACACCAAAAAATATATAAAAATAGAAATATAATTCACAGCAATCAAAAAAGAAGAGAAAAAATTAAATAACAAAAACTGTCACCCAATAGAAGGCAGACACATAAAAAGAAAAAAAAAACAAAGAATAAAAACAGAAAACACACAAAAATGATAGAAATAAGTCCAAATGTCTTAGTAATTGCAATAAATACAAATGGATTTAAACTACCTACTAAAATCAGAAATCACCAAAATGAATACAAAAAAATAAAATCTGGGTAAATGTGGCTTACAAGAGACAGACCTAAAATGAAAACAGAATAAAAACACAGAGAGTGATACATATATAACACACAAATACACTCCCTCACACACAGAACAAAAATAGCTGGTAAAGCAATATTAATAGGCACACTCAACGCAAGAACATAAAGGAAAATCTAAAACACTCAGACAACAAATATGCTCTGAAAGTTCTCTGTACAGAAACTACTCCATTGCATATTAAGATGTTCATACAGATATTATAATATCTTCAGCTGAAATAGTTCAGAACTACCATAATAAACTATTTTAATGAAATAAACAAACTTATCTGTTAGATGATATTTATTGAACACTTAAAATGTGCTGGGTCTCACCCCAAAGAGATTTTTCTACTCCACAAATATTTACTGAAAATGCATTAGGGCACCGAGGATACAGCAGTGGAGGGGAGAAAAGTCAAGACTTCTGCATTCAAGAAGCCTGCTTACTCTCCACTGACAAGTTAACTGGAATCACAGTGGGATACAGTGAAATTACAGTCAGGACGCTATGGGAACACTCAGGACGGACATCTAATGCAGTTTTTGGAGGGTGAAAGAAGGCTTTTTAAAAAAAAAAATGATACCTAATCTGAGCCTGAAAAGATGAGGATACAATCATGTAAAGGGCAGTGATCCAGGCAGCAGGCACGACACACCCAAAGCCCTGGGGCAAAAGGGACAGGAGTCTGGAGGATCTGGCTCCTGGCACCTGACAGAAGGGATGCCAGATTAGTGGGATGAGGTAAGCAGAGATCAGACCAAAAGGGACCCTTGTATGCCCTACAGAGAAAGCCACAGTACCAGGTTACATAACCTTACACACTGCTTTATAGGACAGACATTTCAGTAGTTAAAATAGATTGTCCTTCAAAAGGAAAAAAAATCACACCCTTATATGTTTCTGCTGTAACCATGGAAAAAACAACTGAACTAGGAACCTAACAATTAAATACTTCTTCTAGACTCCTAGGAAAGAAATTCTGGTCACAGGAAAACAGTAAAATGATGTTTTATCACTTGTGCTCGCCTATTTCAAATCCCAAACACTCTTTAAGAACCATCCACAAATTCTACTTCAGCCACAGATCAACCTAGATGATGCCGTTCCTATTCCTGAATTCCTACAGTAGTTGTAGTTAATTTGAATGAATCACAAATTGTATTATAAAAAGTTATGTTACTATTACTACTTCTTTTAAACTGGGCTTTCCTCGATTTACCAGACTTCTTCACTAATGTTTTATACTCTCCCTCATGCTCAAGGACTCCAGCTGGTGCCTCCACACACAAAGAGTTTGAGATTAAACACTTCAGAAAAAAACTGCAATAATTTGACAAATCCTCATTTCCTTATAAGGTATACATCAAATTGTCCTTTATATCTCTTTTGTTTCTAACGTTCGATTTGTAGTATGCTTCTAACATAACTTAGGTAGATTGTTTCCTTTTTATTTTGCTTTAATTCTATGTACATCTATTCACCTAACATAGACATATATATTAGCTTTATGAGAATGCTGAGAGAGAGAGAGAAAATGAAAAGAAACAGAGAAGGATCTATCCATCGTGTGGTGAACTTTCCCTAGGAACCACAGCAAAGTTTAAAACATCGTTATTATTATACAAGGGCACATTACCCCTAATTTATCATGAAACTAAAGTTCTATCTATCAATAATAAAACATAATGTAAATGCCTAAAGAAAATTTTGAGACTAAATAATGAGTCATGAAGATTCCAAATCTACTCAGTTTCAGCCTTGATCAATAATTTAGCGCTATAATTCAGAAAAGCTGCAAGGCATAATAGTTAAAACTCTTCCAACTCAGAGACAGGTTTGATTCCAAGTTCTGACGCTTAACTAGCAATCTTTTTTTTTGTGTGTGTGTGAGGAAGATCAGCCCTGAGCTAACATCCGTGCTAATCCTCCTCTTTTTGCTGAGGAAGACCGGCTCTGAGCTAACATCTGTTGCCAATCCTCCTTTTTCCCCCCAAAGCCCCAGTAGATAGTTGTGTGTCATAGTTGCACATCCTTCCAGTTGCTGTATGTGGGACGCGGCCTCAGCATGGCCGGAGAAGCGGTGCGTCGGTGCATGCCTGGGATCCGAACCCGGGCCGCCAGTAGCGGAGCGTGCGCACTTAACTGCTAAGCCACGGGGCCGGCCCGCTAACTAGTAATCTTAACCAAGTTACTTAACCTCTCTGACTCAGGAAGGTTTTGAATGTGCAGTTACATTAAAAAAAAAATCATGGAACTGAAAATGTGAGGTTAACTCTTCACAAACATCTTCAAATAACACTTCAAAACAGCTTTA